AATCAGAAGGACAGTGTTTAGGGGTAGGGACTTGAGTAGCCAGGACCCACCAGAATCTCCTGGGTTCTCTCAGGGAGAGTGAGGGTTTCTGTGGGGCTGTGGGAGGTGGAGCCCAAGCCTGGGCACCCAGGCCCCTGGAGCTCACTGGTGAGCCTGCTAAAGAGGTGTCAGGTGGGCAGGTGCCACAGTTCCAGCCAGCAGGCTCAGACCCACACATGGACAAAGGGTGCTCAGCCATCTGACAATGCAGTTCCCCAAGCCTCCTAGGCCCTGCAGGGGCCCCAGCAGAGCTCCTGACCTGGTCTTGGCCCCTTAACCAGGCAGCATTTGCTCTGGGGCTTAAGTCTCTAGAGGACACCAGAGCCTCTGGCTAGCCCAGAAGGGGACTAAACGTCAGCTAATGACAGGAACAACAGGAGTCATTTCAATACTTTCTCCTATGTGAGCACATTCAGCTAACAAAGCACCTTCATAATCAGCATCTCACTTGACCCTTGTAGGAATCTGAGGGAATGGGGGTGGGGGCCTTATAATTCCCATTTTGCAGATGAGGAAACTGAAACCTAGAGACATAAAGTGACTTTTCCCAAAGTCACACCTCTGCTTAGGTGTCCTGAAGGGCCTGTTACATCAAACCTCAAACCAGTAAGAGCACAGAATCCTTACTCAGTGGAGATGGGATCCTGGATGTAAAAAGCAGTAAGTGGTTCCTGCAGTTAGATGGGCCACAGGAAGCTGTGATCTTTCCTCCCACCTCCATGTGCCCTACAGTTAGAAAGTAAGGCAACAATCTGCGGCAGGGTCAGGGCTCAACAGTGAGGGGATCAGGGCTCAGTGTGTGACCAGGGTCTGGGTTCAGCCAAGATGAGAAGCAGAGCCAGGCGCCTGACCCCAGCGCAGTGTTACGGCCACTCTACCTGTTCTGACCCCGACCGAGGCAAGACTCCCTGCATGTGCAGCCTCCCTGTCTATCATGAGAGGGTGTGAGAGAGAAGGCTTATCAAGGCCCCTCTCAGGGTCTGGCTGTTGTGAGCAGGTCCAAGCTCAGGATGTGAAGGTGCAGAGTGAGAGCGGGAAGTGCTGGCCTCCAGGGGTTGGGGCTGGCCTCCAGGGGAGGCACAGGGCACTAAAGCCACCCTTGACCCACCCACCCTCACCCTGCCACTTCCTCCTCTCCACCCTGGGGTCTCCCCTGCTTCTACAGCTTGTTGACTTTCCAATTTACAAGCTGTGGGATTGCCAAGGCCCCAGGATGATCACACACCTGGACCCGCCTTAGGAAAGCTCCCCCTCTACCCAGTCCCGCCAGCAGCCTTTGTGGGGAGGAGCAGGAGCACGAGATGGGACCTCTTAGGGGCTGCGACAAATTTAAAGATGAAAATAATCAAAAGATGACGGAAGAGAAAATCAAAGGCAAGTTCCATTCTGGAAAGGAGAGGGGGCAGGATTCATGTTCTGCCTGATGGTCACGTTCTGAAACTCCTGCTTCTTGACTCCAGGCCTGACTCTGCATCAGGGCTCAGGTTGGGGCGAGGAACTTTATGGTATTTGCTTGGTTTATGGGCTCTCTGGAAGAGGATATGAGAGCCCAGGTTCTCTGGAGATAGGACCTTTCAAGGAAAAGCCAAGATTTATGGTTTCTAGAAACCCTCAAGGTTACTCAAAGCTGGGCAGAGCTAGCTTTCCTAGGCTCCCCAGTTTAAGAGAGGGAGGACCTGGAGGTAAAGGAAATGCTGGGACTGTGGTGGGAACTGTTCCCCGAATGCTTTCTCTTCAATCACCTCTCACGATTCTCAGTAAGAGTGCTGTGACACTGATGATTCTGGGATTTGCCCCCTCATTGTGCTGATGGGGGAATGGAGGCCAGCCCAGGTCTTGAAGAATAAGTGTCAGAGAAGGAATTCAAACTCGGCCCCCAGTGGGGGCCTCCCTCTCTGAGCTTTGCCACCAGAGAGCATCCTTTGAGGCCTATTCATGAAATAACCAAGTCATCCTGACCGAAAGAAAACAATACTACTAGGGCTGGCCTCGAGGGATCTGCATCACACCATGCAGACCTCGGAAAATAGCTACTCACCAGGGATCAGCAAGGTGACCCAGGCATCCCCCTACACCAACATGTGACCCACCAAGGGCACTTGACCTTCCAGGGAATGCTCACCCCCACCACTCCTGTGGACACTGGCCCTGGCCAAGTGGCTCTGGACACAAATGTTTCGTTGACAACCCTACTTCACAGGCACAAGAGGCTGGTTCCTGACATGGCCTGACAGTCTTCCGTGGCCCCTATGAGCAGAGTAAATTTCATTTCTGGGCTTAATTAGGGGACATGCCATAAATATTCATGCAGCAAAATGAGCCCTGGCTCACAAGTGCAGCTGCTTCCCGCTTGGGGGAAATTAACATTGTTTTCCAGCCCATGAGTAATGAAGCTCTGTTGCTGGAGAGAGGAGCCTTTTCAACAGCCTCTCCAGGACAGAAAGAAAGAGGCACCCATACCCCATAGAGCCACCCTGGCTATCCTAGGTCCCTCTGCCTTTCTAAAGAGGGGTTAGAACAGGACTCCCCTTAGGCTCAGCCCCAAAGGGAGCCCCCAACCAGGGTGCTCAGCAGAGCAGAAGTTCATGAGTTAGGTCTCAAAAGCAGCCAGCGGCAAACTACAACCAGCAGGCCAAATCTATCGGCCACCTGTTTTTGTGAATAAAGTTTTACTGAAGCACAGCCAGGTCCATTCATTTAATAGCAGAGTTGGGCAGTCATGACAGAGATCTCATGACCTCTAAAGTCAAAAATATTTACTATCTGGTCCTTTACCAGAAACTAAAAAGTTTGCCAACTCCTGCTCTAGAACTCTCTCACCTAGACCCTTGTTATTATTAATAAAAGTACCATAATATTGACTTTTCTAGAATCTTAGGAATATGGAGCAGTTTTAGAATCTGATGGTCTTGGAATCTCATGGGCACAGACTGAAACCAGAGTCCACTCTCAGCTCCACCATTTCCTCAGCTGTGTGACTGTGGGCCAGTTAATTAACTTTCTCTCTGCCTCAGTTTCTTTATCATAAATTGGGGGGTAAGAACAACACCTAACTCACAGGGTTGCTGTGAAAACTAAATGAGTGAATATTTGTAAAGCCCCTACAAAGGTATTGGGCACAGGGTAAGCATTATGTGAGTGTTCTGTTCTGTACATGGACTCAATCTCCTCTAATTTCAGAATCCTCAAAGGGTAGGATCTTCACCCCCTAAAATGTTGACCTGTCAGATCTTAGACTCCCAGCGGTGGTGGGAGGGCTCATGTTTGTCACTGCTAAATGTTTTACATGCATTATCTCATTTAATCTCCAGAACAACTCTTTGAAGTAAGGATGAAGAAATTGGAATTTTACAAAGGTTAAGAGGTCACACAGGGGAGAAATGCAAAGCTGGGCCGGGAGACCAAGAGAGCCTAATTTCAAAGTCTGTCTCTCATATACTCCCGCCTCTCACCCAGTGCCATGGTCCCTCATCTGTACCTGTCACAGGGTCCTCCAGCAGCTGTGATGGGGGCCGGCCACCTCTGGAGGCAGCTGGCCCTGTGGCTGGAGAGCTCATGCTGGAATCTATTCTTACGTTCACCCATCTCTGGGTCCTCATCATGACTCTCTCCGCCTTGCTCTTAGAAGCCCAGGTGGAGAGCAAGGGCACTTCGGGAGGCGTCTGCCAACTTGCTGGGAGTCAGCCGTAGCGTGGACTTCAAGCATTTACCACAAACTAGACCTGGGTGGAAAGACTAAACTCCACAGCTTTGGAGAAAGCCCTCTTCTAGAAAGTCCTCCTTGGTGCCAACAGGCAGCAAGGACCTTCCTTTCTCCTCAGGGCCCCGACATTCCTGCCTGAACCATCCCTCAGTGAGACTAGAGCCATGCCCAGTGTGAGGCCTATTATCCTAACCCCAAGACTCTAACCCTTGTGTTCTCTCTGCTTGCTTTCAGCGTGTCTCGCCATCTGGTCTCCTGCAGTTCTGTGGCAGAGCCAAGCTCATCAGTGCTGTGGCAATGCATTTATCCTCCTAGCCCTCTGCCCTGGAGGGGCATTACTGTGTGCATTTGTAAGATGAGATCCCTGAGACCCAAAGGGATGGGAAGAAGGAATAAAGGGAGAAACTACTGCTGGAGAAACTTCCTGTGTGCCAGGCTCACTTCCAGTTGCTCACTCTTTGTCTCATTTAATCCCAACTATGTAGGCAGCAACCCCACTTTACAGAGGAGGAAACTGAGACGCCGAGAGGAAATCTCACTTGCTCTAGGTTACACAGAGAGTAAAAGGAGGAGGATGATACTGATAAAGCATTTGCTATATGCTAGCACCTCCACCACATATAGGCTTTATTTCACCATCAAACACACATGAAATAAAACTAAGGCAGGTATTCTTATTCCTGTTTCCCAGACTTGTAAACCAAGGCTCCAAGAGCCGACTTACCCCAAGGGGAGTGGGGCTGGAACCAGGCCTCACTGGCCCAGGATAAAGCACCTCACCCAACCCCGGCAGTCCTCCCGAGGCTCAGCATCCTTCTGGGGAGTGAAAAAGGAAACACTGGGCCCTTTTACAGGGTTTCCGTGTGCATGACAGGGAGCCCCTGAGGATGGCTGGCCTGCCATGGATGGGAGGAACCGTTTATTTTTCCTGCGGACCACTCTGGAGCCTTTCAAGGGTGTGAAGTTCCATGGCCTGCAAAGGCTGACTCTGCTGGCTGTCCAGAGAGGGCCCTGCTGGGCCCCAGTGCCTATATGCCCTGGCCTCTTCGTGTGCTGCCTGGGAACTCCCTCCAGCCCACCTAGCCTCTCACTCACTGAAAGGCTGCAGAGTGACAGGCCAGAAACTTGACTCCAGTGTTTATTCAGCAAACACAGAGACAGCCCTCTGGGCTCTCCTCCACCATCCAGACCCTCTGCTACCTCAGGGGAAGAGGGGTTTCCAGCCCACTCCCAGGCTCAGCATACCTGGCACACTTACCTCCAGAGACTGGCCACAGGGAGGGGCATCCAGCCTGGCCCTGCAGCAAGAGAGAGCCTGGTTAGACACAAGGAAGAACTTCCTGCCACTGAGGGATGTTCAGCTCAGAGAAAGAAGGGGAATCTCCTGAAGTATTGTGCTCTCTTGGCAAGGACTCTGGGCTCTTCTGTCTGAGCCTCCTTTCCTCACTCCTACAATGAGGGATGAGACTGCATGATTCCCAAGCCCGCTCCCCACTAGTTCTAACAAAATAATTCTGAGGTTCACAGGCTGAGACATGGGGCAGCTCCACCTCAACTGACTGTGGGAACATGGGCAGAGGTACTTTGCTGCTCTGGACCTTAGTCTCCCCATCTTTAAAATGGGCATAATCATCAAGGGTTTGTTAAGAATTAATGGGTACAAAATAAGCTATTAATACATTCTCCCAGCAAAGTGCTCTCCATGTGCGCAGTGGATTTCTTATTCCCACTGGTCCTTCCCTTATTGCTCCCTCTTTCTTTCCTCTCCCACCGCAATCTTCTTTTCATGTATCCTTTCTTTCTGTACTTTTCCCCAGAGGAGAAGTTAGTATGTCCACTTCTCTACCTAGCCAGTTCACTGAGAAGTGTTCTTTGTAGACTGAGAGGTTTTTTTTGTTTACTTTGAATTCTGTTTTTTTTAATGTAGTTAACACAGTGGGACCCAGGAAGACAGTGGAGCCATAGGGAAATGCCCACATAACCTCATAACCTCACGGTCCCCTCAGGAAGCCTTCCAAAAGAATATGGAATATTTTCCCCACAGGGGACTGTCTTCCTGGATCTTGGTGAGAGTACGACAGTGAGAAATCCATGGTCACTACTTTGCTGCCCTGGACTAAAGGACCATCTCTCAATGCTTCCACCTCCAGACCTGTCAAGTCGTGGACTGTCAGGACAAGAGTGAACAATGGGTCTGTGAGTTGACTGGGTGCTCCCTTAGGTAATAGCCTAATAGCCAAGGACGTCACATGGTGACTTTTTAAAAACTGAACTGATGTTGCTGTTGTTTTTCTGTGGCTTTGTCCCTCACCATTTTATAACTGACCTGACTGTTTTGGTTGGACTGACCTGTTGTTTGTCTAAACGAACCCATTGTCAGAGGGACTGACTGGCTGTTTGTCTACAGTGACCAGCTGTGGGACCAAGGTAGGTGGTTGGGGGATATTTTGGCCCAATGAACTGGTCTGGGGCCTGCAGTCAAACCATGCAATTCCAACCCTACCGCTTAATCTTACTGCAAAAAAACTGGTCTTCCCAGAGAGATTCAGTCTCAAATGCCAGTCCACCACAAGAGGACGTACAGGATTGTCAAATGTTAAAAACTGGGCTTCACATGAGAGGAAAAGGCCCGACTGAGGACCAGGCAAACCACCCAGCTGCCTGTCCCCCCACCCGCCTGCTGTCCACGTGGCCTGAAGCCCCCAGACCTGTCCCCAGCTTGTGCTTCTGGATCACCAAGCTGCCAGCACGGCCTCCTCATTTGCCTCTTTAACTCACTTCTTTTCAGTGCTGACAGGTCCAGACCCTTTCAATGGGGCTGCAGCAAGAGGCTCCTCATCCCCTAGCCCCATTCACCCTGCCCACCCCCTCCTCAGCCTTTCAGGCTCCCAGTGAAAGGGACTTGTCCACAAACTGGGGATTTGCCATTGTTCCCTTTGTTAGCCTCTCCACTTCCCTGCGCCCCACCCCTCCCATCACTGGGATCAGCAGGGGTGGCCCCTGAGGGGCTGCGGATGTCACAGGACACCACACATCCAACACACTAGCTTAGGATCAGAGCCCGGGCCTCCGAAGACTTCGTTTTGAAGCAGAAACATGGTATCTATATTTCCTCCGGCCTCCATTTCCTCTCCATTTTACAGACGGAGAAACTGAGAGTCACACAGAGACCTCTTGACACCCAGCCTGCCATCCCATTAGCTCGTTTCCATTCTCCATTTCTCTCAGAATTGAGAGGGCAAGGCATTTGTCATTTGTGTTGACCCGATATGCTGCACCATTGAACACATGTACAAAAGCTGCAGGCAGTAGTTGAGGAGGTTTAGGGCCGTGGTTTTGTTGTTTAGCATCTGAAATCAAAAGCTAGAGCCATGAACACAGCAATTCTGGTTAAATTGCCTCAAAACAAACAGAAACACTGGCCTGACTAATTTGCAATTCAACTCAAAAAAGGGAAACAAAGCCAAATTGTCTTTTCCTGTTTCTAATATTTTTGCTCTCACATTTAGATTATTTAGTCCAACTTCCTATCTGTAGGTGGGCCTATTGCTGCCAGAGAGGGGGTCTGCTTGCCTAAAGGCACACAGCATCACAGGTGGGGCTGGGTATAGCATACCCAGAGCCAAGCATGCTCTGCTGACCAGACAGGCATTTCAGTTTCAGAAAAATTTCAGCTACATCGAAATGATATTCCTAGAACCAGGTGGTAACTGCAGCTTGTTTCGGGAGCTTTCCAGTTTCTAAACCAAATTGGTCCTCAGGAAAAGATTTGAAACTGGTGAGGGGGGTTGCTTCCAAAGATTTGTCTGTGGGGAAAGTTGCCTGTCTCTTAGCGTTTCTAACCGGAACTCTCCCTAAGCAGGCTTGAGGCACCTTAGGTCAATACGGGGCAGGGAGATTCTGGGCTGAGCTGAGGCAGAGAAAAGCTATTTCAAGGGAGACAGCCTCAGACTAAGCAGCCACTGCACAGACCCTGTCTTTGCGGGGCTTGAATAAAAAGCAGAAGTTTCTATATTTAAACTGCTTCTCTCTGGCTAGCCTGTTTAGAGAGTTTGGAGATGAATTCACTAGAAAGTGAACATCTTCTTAAGTACGAGGGTGACTCTGAAACTGGCTGTTTGGACTTTTAGTTTTGTTTCTGTTTTGGTTTATTCATAATATTCTAACAGAACCCTGAACATTACTTACCATCCATCCCCTTGCAGTACGTACTGTTCCCCCTCTGGGGATTTATGGCAGATAACAAGCCTCCACATATCTCTGAACCCTGATGACACATGATAACATCATCAACTCATCACTGAACCACCCTCAGCAACCTAGCTTCCATCACTTTCCAAAATGATAACCATCACAGGCTGTTAATTCCCAGCAAATTATCTAATCCACATGTTGTCCAGTTTGTGTAAACCCCAGCCTGTGAGGATCATAAAATTAATAAGCATGAAACGGTTTATGGTTTCCAATCTCCTCTCACCTAGATAGGCCAGGCTGCTCAATCTCAGCCTTGACCGTGGCTCTCATGCCCTTCCAGAAGGAATGGGCACTGCAGGTTCAAATCTGGACCTGTTTGCTGCTGTTTCTGGGACAGAGGGCACAGACTCACTCACACATACAGACCAAGGCAGCCCCGGCCCTCCTGCTCAAAAGGCCGAAGCTTCATTTCACTAGTATATTAATCACTGAAATAGTCTTCTCCTACAGGCACATGCATAAGGAATTAAGAAGCTGGATGACTTACAGAAAGAAAAGCAAACTGTCCCTCAAAAAACAGAGGTTGGTAGGAATTTGTAATGATGAGCGGCAGAGCAGAAAGCAGAAGCAGCAGAGGAGGCCGGCAGCTGTAGGAGACGCAGGGAAAGATCAGATTAGACTGTGTTGTCTAGACATAAGCAAAGGATTGCAAAGGGGCTTAGATGAAGACGCAGGCCCAGCCAGGAATGGGGTTGAGTGACCTCTAAATCCCATTTTGCCTCTGAAATTTTTCAAGACTATGTCTAAAAGCTTATAATTCCAAAATTCTGTAATTCATAGATCATGTACTTCTCTAAGAAAACAGACACTCTCTGATTCTAATGTTCTATAATTCTAAGAGTCTATAATCCAATGAGTCTGTAATTATAAACTGCTATGATTGTAGAAATCCATTCCATGATGCTAATGTTCTGTGATTCTAAGATTTTATCATTCAACGTTTCCTTAATTTAATATTCTAACATTCCACCATTCTCAAGTTCTATGACTCTAAGAGACCATGATTCTGGATTTCTACAAATTTATTTTTCTATATTTATAATGCCCTATAATTCTAGTATTCTAGAATACTGACCCCATAATCCTAAAATTCCATAATTTGTATGTTGTATGCTAGTGGAATCAAAAGTATTTCTCTGATTCTCTCAATCATATTTGCAAGATTATTTAGAGTGTGTGATTCGAATATTCTGGGTTTCTAAGATCCTACAATGCAAAGATATATTTTATTACAAGTTTTACATTGGCAAGTGTCTATATTTATAAGATTCTTAGTTTCAGGATTTTAATATTGCCTGCTCTCATAATTACAACATTTCTCATATTTTATGATTTTGTTATTACAAACAGAAAGTCACTTCATCTACAAAGTACAGGAATTATGCTGCAAACTGGAAAAGAATCAAGTGACTACCGCAGCTGTCCTCTTAATCAGGTTGTAGCATGTCCCAGGGCCGCAGACCTTTCCTCCTCGCTGGCAAGACCAGCAAACGCCTGGTTTTTCCAGCCTGGGTTCCCGGAGTTGCTGCTAGACAAAGGCATGGGGAGGTGGGGCCAGGCCCAGGGTCAAGCCGAGGAGTTGCCCCCACGGCTCTGGGAGGCCCCTCCTCCACAGCCAGGTTTCCAAACATCTGCCAGCATTTGGGTCCCAATTGTTGTCCTTTAAAAGTATCCCTCTCCCTTTCTTGTTCTCCATCAAGGGCTCCCATGACAATCATTTCAAGCAGCTAATGAGTTTCAGATGGTCTTCAGGAGTCCAGGACGGATAGAAGCTGGGGGATAAGGGTTCTTAGGCTGAGTTTCGTGGGCGGGGGGTGGAGGCGGGGAATGGTGGAGGCGGGGGTCAGAAAGAAAAACCTTTTGTAGCTGAAGTGTTGCAGGTCACCCACCCCTCCCCTTCCAACCTGGAGACAGAACCTGGAAGGGACGCTCATGGTCACTCTGCCTGCTTCTCTGCTCCCCCACAAGCTCTCTCAATGTACAGGCCAGCTCCCAGCTTCAGCCTCACTCACTGTATTGCACTTAGATGAAATAAAGACCCAGAAGCATTATATGAAAGCATTAAGGCCTTCTTGAGGCCAGGATATCATTACTCACCTGCTCATAGAAGCATCCTTGAAAAAGATAGAAATAATCCTTGTCAGAAACTACTGTCCTCTGTGACTCTGGCTTTCCAGGTGCATGGGGATAAAGGCTGGTGGCTGGCTCCAGTGCCATCTGTCCCTAATGTGTGTCCTGCTGCCTGGCCCAGAGTGGGGCCGGCGGTGGGGTGCTGGGAAAGGAACACTGCTCCTGGGCCCGCTAGCACTGTGCCGGGACAGCTCAGCAAGCCTGCAGCTTCCTCCTACCCACTGCTCTCTCTCCCTTTGGAGCTCTCCCTCCGCCCCCACAGTTGGCCTGGAAACCCTCGGGCCTGATTGTGACCCCAAAGGGCTTTTACCTCCAGCACCAGTGGGCACAGGGAGAGCAGAGACGTGGAAGGGGCGCCCCAGTTTTCATTTCCTTGGCATTGGGAGAGCCCAGGAGGGGCTGTGCCCAGAACCTGGCCAGGATTACACAGCGGGCTCTCTGGCGGTCTCCCTCCGGGCTGCCAGGGAACTTCCGCTGCTTTCAAGGTCTTATTTAGAGATCCACTTAAGCAAGCGGAACATTGAGAGAGGCACACCAGTGAATTTCGGAGGATCTCACTCAAAGCCCACCGAGGCCATTCCTGTCCGGGAATTTAGGGGGACAGTTCTGCCACAGGCTGTGTACAGTTCAAGTTTGGAGGGGCTCTCTTCTGGCAAGGGAGACCAAACCTGATAATTAAGTATCTAGTCAGTTCCTCTAAGATATCAACAACCATGTCCCCCGTTCCCTAAATAGGATAAATCGCGAGTTAAGCAGTTCCTGGTGGTCCACTCTCACACATGTGCAGAGGGAGAAAAAAAACCTCCTGGAAGCTGGCCTCCCTGCTTCCCAGCAGCGGCTGCCTCCCCCTCCCTGCCTCTGTCCCCCCTCCCCCTGTCGCAATTAGGGGTAATCTTTTGTTGCCTGGAAAGTGTAAAAATCGCTGGCTTTTCTTTTTGCATACATAATATCCATTTCCCCTCTAAGTGCGTTATTTGGTTTGGGAATTACATCTATTTACAAGAGAAGATGTTGCACAAAGGTTGTGTTTATGTGGAAAATTATATCGGTGACACAGGCTGATTGGCATGTGGAGACTGGGAGAGCAAGCCGAAGAGGCCTTCTCATCAGCTTGGAATAACAAAATGATTGTATTTTCAGCAAAGCTAATTGATCACATACCTCACTGGGCTATCTGTTTACTCAAAGGCTGTCCAGGCCCTGGGAAGGTGGAGAGGAGAAAGCCCCAGGGCGGTGGTCACCGCCAGACCAAGCTAGCCTTCCAAGGCGCTGGGGGCTGGAGTGAGACCAGGGGATGCGACGGGTCAGCAGGTCGGTGGGGGGCTGACTCTCCTCCGGAAACCAGGAAACCAGGCACAGACCCGACCCTGGAGGATTGTGTCCTTCCTCCAGGACCCCGGAAGTCAATGTGGGACACCAAACATGTGGGTAGGATGAGCTAGAGTAGAATCAGGGGCCACTGCCGATCAAAAATGAGTCAATGCCCTTCCTTTCTTCTGTTTGAAAAGCTGACCCAAAAAGGTCTTAACGCTGAGCTGGCTGTGCAGGGGGCCCTGGGGGAGTGAAAGTGCTGGAAATCTGGCATCCTCCGTCTGTCTTTTTTTCTTTTTTATTAAAATATAGCTGATATGCAATATTATATTGGTTTCAAGTATACAACATAGTGATTTGACAGTTATCGACATTATTAAATAAATACTCACCCCAACTAGAGTAGTTGCTATCTGTCAACATAGAAAGATAATACAGTATTACTGACTGTATTTTCTATGCTGTACCTCTATGCTGGTGACTAATTTATATTATAATTGAGATTTCCCTGTTTCTGTCTTGACCAACCGAGTGACTCTGTGGGTCTCAAGGCTATCTTTACCCTGCACCGGGAGCTCTGGGTCAGGGGCCTAGGCTGGGAGGCCAGACAGGAGAGACGACCACGGGGGACTTAGGGAGTGGCTAAGGAGTGCCTTCAGCTTCCAAATCTGCAAAGAGCCAAAACCTAAGCCTCCCTGACACCCTCCCAGAACCAAGACTCTGCTTCTTGCTTTTGGGGAAGGGAGAGGAGTGCTTATCTTTAGGTTTATGACCAGCATTCCTGGGCTCTGGGGATGAATCAGTGTAAGAGGTTCCCTAAGGAGATATTAGCTCCGCTACACTGACCCACAGAGGCCAGGCTGCAGGCCAAATGGCTCAAGTCACCTCAAAAAGCCCCCAGAGTTAGATTGTATTTCCTCAGCAGCATTAAAACTCCAGTTGTGTGCAGGCAGAAAACAAAACAGTTGGATATAGTTAAGCAAGTGGTTGTATTGAAAATGACCAGTTATTTTAAAAACAACTTGTTGGGCATTAGTCAAGGAACTGATTGATTTACCACTCACTTTGCAAACACGGAGTTCCTTTGAAAACCACCCATTAAAAATAATCCAACATCCTGTCCCCCATATGATGAAGATGACTGGCTCTTTTGCAAACTTCCAGTTGGAGTCAGTCAAGCTACTAGTTCTTCCTTACAAATCAGGCACAAGCAGCAGCCCCTGGTGTGACAGATTTCAACTGTAGTTTGGTCTCCTCATTGCTAATCAATTTTTAGATTTAATTTTCCTAAAGCAAGACTAAAGAAATCTTTGGGGGACAATCAATAAGGATTCCCCTGGAGAAATTCTGAAATCCTCAGAGAATACTGAACCCAACAGCTTTGTTTTACAAATAGGGAAATTGAGACCTACCACACTCCAATCTTTCTCGATCCTTACTGGTAACATATAAGCCAGGTTTGTAGTTGATTTGGAGGGTCTTGGATGATGCTGAATAAGCTTCACATGCTTTTTCTCTAAGCTCAGCGATGAGGTTTTTCACCTATCTCCAGGAATGAACTATAACCCCAATTTGGAATGTATACCTGGTAGCACTCTGTACGTATATATGTATATTTGTCCACCATTGCATTTCAAAATCTCTGGCCCTCTGAAAGACAAGCAGTTTATTAATGTGGCGCTCTCAGAATTGTTTTTTAATTGGAAACTTTTGCAGTGAAAGAACATTAATAAAACCTGAATCCAAATCAAACTTCTCTGTGAATGTTATTTTTACTCCACAGTGAAATGCTTATATTAGATTTAAAACTTTCACTGTGCTTTTTATCTCTGGCTATATAATGTTCTACAATGAAAAAAATGGAAGCCCAATGACTCTAAAGTCTGGCAAAATTATATACTTTCTTGGATGTCTCTGTGTGTTGCCAATTAGCTTTGCCATGAACATCGGCCTCCATCCATCACCTGCCTCTGGGTGGCTGTAACGGAGACCTAATTTGTTTCATATGCCCCGTGCTCTCTGAGCCATTCACCAGTGCCTCCCACCTGTTGAGGAACAGCAGGGCCAAAGAAGAGACAAATGACAAGGAAAACCCAAGACAAGTCAGAGGGACCCCTTATCAGAACTGGGCCCAGCCCTGCTGGCCCTGTGGGAAACTTTCAGCCTCCATGCCTGCAAGACCTTCATCTGAACATCACCTGCCACCCATCCTCTCCTCTCTCCTCCACCTCTTCTCCCCTTTCATGATCCAAAAGATCCAAAGCTCACAACTGTCAGACCTTGAGTAGAAATGAAAGGCTCACCTTTTCCTCCAGCTTCCCAGGGCTGGCTGCTGTCCTCTCCCTTCTCTACCCGATTCCCACCCCCGCCCACCTACTCCTTTTACAAGCCCAGCTTTTAAACCTCCAGTTCCCTAGGAATTTTATGAATGCTCACCACAAGCCAAAATAAACTCGTAAAGAAAATGTTTCTGAGGAAGGTCACAAACCCATACAACAAGTGCTAGGCGGTAAATACAAAAGTTCTTGGGGTCTCTGGGAGCTGAGGTCTGGCTGGTGGAAGGGTGGGGTCAGTGGAGGGAGGGTGAGGAGATAAGGAGTGCAGGCTTCCTTTTATTTCCTGAAAGAAGAGAAGAGAATCTTCAAATCCTAGATCCATAGGTCTTTAATACAATATTTTTTTAAGTGCTATTATAATTTGACTTCTCATTTTATTGCAGCTGTAGCCCAGAAAGGTGAGGGATTTATCCAAAGCCACACTTTTTTCAGTCCGACTGTGTGTTTGTGAGTGCATTTGTATGTAAGAGAGCAGATTGTGAGTGGGCACATGTTCAAATGTGAACAGAGGGGTGGCAGGTGTGGGAGCACACGTATAAAGGGTGCTGTGTGTGCATCTGTGAGTATTCCACCCAAGTGTGCATCTGAACAAGAATATGAGTGTGTCGATGGAATATTATGCAGCCATAAGAAGAAAACAAATCCTACCATTTGCAACAACATGAATGGAGCTAGAGGGTATTATGCTTCAGGAAACCAGGCACAGACCCGACCCTGGAGGATTGTGTCCTTCCTCCAGGACCCCGGAAGTCAATGTGGGACACCAAACATGTGGGTAGGATGAGCTAGAGTAGAATCAGGGGCCACTGCCGATCAAAAATGAGTGAATGCCCTTCCTTTCTTCTGTTTGAAAAGCTGACCCAAAAAGGTCTTAACGCTGAGCTGGCTGTGCAGGGGGCCCTGGGGGAGTGAAAGTGCTGGAAATCTGGCATCCTCCGTCTGTCTTTTTTTCTTTTTTATTAAAATATAGCTGATATGCAATATTATATTGGTTTCAAGTATACAACATAGTGATTTGACAGTTATCGACATTATTAAATAAATGCTCACCCCAACTAGAGTAGTTGCTATCTGTCAACATAGAAAGATAATACAGTATTACTGACTGTATTTTCTATGCTGTACCTCTATGCTGGTGACTAATTTATATTATAATTGAGATTTCCCTGTTTCTGTCTTGACCAACCGAGTGACTCTGTGGGTCTCAAGGCTATCTTTACCCTGCACCGGGAGCTCTGGGTCAGGGGCCTAGGCTGGGAGGCCAGACAGGAGAGACGACCACGGGGGACTTAGGGAGTGGCTAAGGAGTGCCTTCAGCTTCCAAATCTGCAAAGAGCCAAAACCTAAGCCTCCCTGACACCCTCCCAGAACCAAGACTCTGCTTCTTGCTTTTGGGGAAGGGAGAGGAGTGCTTATCTTTAGGTTTATGACCAGCATTCCTGGGCTCTGGGGATGAATCAGTGTAAGAGGTTCCCTAAGGAGATATTAGCTCCGCTACACTGACCCACAGAGGCCAGGCTGCAGGCCAAATGGCTCAAGTCACCTCAAAAAGCCCCCAGAGTTAGATTGTATTTCCTCAGCAGCATTAAAACTCCAGTTGTGTGCAGGCAGAAAACAAAACAGTTGGATATAGTTAAGCAAGTGGTTG